AACAACCTCTGTAAGTGTAGGCTAATTAGTGACTATAGAAAGAAAAACAAAGGTAGGAAGAAGAAAAGGCATTCTGCTATTCATTCTAGCTGCACGTCCAGCTTATCACAACTGTTGCAATTCTGGTTAGCTTTCCTTAATGTCGTAATGCACAAATGTTCAAGCAATAAAAGAACCTCAATATTGGTTTACACAATACAAGACTCTCTCATTGGAGTTCTGTTTTTTAATATTTATTGTTGCATCAACATCAATTAGCATGATATACATGCTGAAGCTACAGTATCCTATAAAAATCATGTTTAAGATTGGGCATTTTAACAGAGTGAAATTTCAAAGGTTGCCATCTATCAGTAGCTATTACTGTGCTTTTCACCAAATCACTTCAAAGCGACAGACAAAAATGATAAAAATGCCAAATAAAAGGAATTTCTAAACTGTAATAATTATCCATTTCTAAATACAGGATGCTTAAATAAAAGTCATACTGTATGTACAAAAGCAAAGTGTAACAGCAGTTACTTACCAGTTAGGAGAAATGCTGAGAGCTCTAAAACCAAATTGTAAAAGTACATCCTTTATTTTCAGGGAGTCTCCGCTATAAATGGTGACCAACAATTCCTAAGTGTAGATACAACTTAGGCTATATAAGAGACTGATAAACTGGCTTTATTGCCCACAGCCTTGGAACACTAAGCATGGCAGTGTTCTGTGATTTTAGAGTCTGATTATTAACATAAGGAATCAGCAGGTCCTAGTTATGGGAGGCTACAACCACAGAGAAATGTAGATGTTATAAGCTTTATTTTAAAATCTTGAATCAAGCAGGGAGCCAATGGGCACAGGCTAGTTGCACAGTCATTTGGTTGTTACAAGTGTGACAATATGTTAAGGAAAGCTCCTAAGATTCCACCTCCATATCTTAACTAAACAATTTAGTTAGCTGGGAGACCACTGAAAGTGCAGAAAATGTTGTACTTTAAAGTTGATTATGCCCTCCCAAAAGCATCATATTTATTTTAGCAATTTTCAACATCCATTTTATTATAATAGCCAAGCAACGTTGAAACGAAATTAGAAAGCTATCTCCCAGTTCAAATGATAAATATAACTTGGTCTCAAAAACATAAGTTTACCTAGTCTTTTCATACTATGTCCCTCAGGGGCAAGAAATGGCAAAAACAGAATCGGACCAAAAACAGATATTTGTGGAACGTCTCATGTGATTTAGATAGGGGATGTCTCCTTCTGTTTGAGGCACAAAACTGGAATGTGGACAGTACACAACTTGACAACCTTACTTGTTTTTCAGGCCATCCAATAAAAATACGATGGTTAATTGTATCAACTACTACATTTTGATCTTACCATCTAATCAGTCACTAAAGCTAAACCCACATAAAAGAATAACAGCACGTTATTTCCTACTCTGACAACTGTTTCACCGCTGTGGGCAGTATGGAAACAAGACTA